TTAAGACCACCAACAATTAACTTTAAGATCTGCATCGTGACCGAATTGTTCAAATGAAGATTGTATATTCATATATCTGTAAGAATAGAAATTTATGGTACTCCTGGTGAGATTGACAATAGCAGCATTTCAACTACAAATGTGTGCAAAACTTTGTCAATATTCTGATAATGTTTGAAAAACAGAATTTCGCAGTTGCGTTGTTTCCATTAAATGAGAGACAATTAAAATCACATGCGACTAAATTTGTTCACGCAATAAGTCAGACTGGTAGCAGTCCTACTACTTCCTGTCAGCTTCTTTGTCGGTTCCACCAGTAGCAACATCTGGTGGTTAGTCATGTGACTCGTGTGATATGAAAAGTGTTTGCATTGCAGTTTTGCATAATATTCTGATACGCCCCCAAAAAACCACCTCATCGTAATGCAAAACCTTTTTTAAAATTTTCTTTTGACATTGACAAGTTTCCACAAACAGAAGTTTCCAATTCATGATAAACGCAGAAGAGCTAGCTAGCAAGGCTATATTAGCAGCTAGTTAGCAGTTAGCATTGAGTCACAGAATTAAGATGTTTACGCTCAACTAAACTCTTGACTAACAATAAAGTCCTGTGAGAAAAAAAACAAAAAAACTAGACTGAATATACGAGATCAAATACGCCACTAAATGTTGTTTTAAACATGCCAAACCCATAGGGGGCAGTGTAGCACAAAGCTAAAACCTGTCATCCAATCAGAATCCCTCAAAACAACCATGACTTCCTGTTCAGAACTCAAAACAAGAAAGTTCATTTGTATAGATACATATATGTATTTAGGTACTTTTAAGTACTGTATTAGAATATAAATTAAAAAATAAAACATCTGGCTATGTGTGGACTATACCAACAAGAAAAACAATTGGTTGTTAGTAATGGTCCAGCAGCTTTTGTCCGAACATATTAAATAAAATGTAATAAATAAACCATAATGGTTCCCAAAGAACATCTGACAGAACAGCATCCAGTTATAAAATCAAACAAAGTAACTGAAACTCACATCATTAATTATAAAAACATCTATGTTACATGTTCAAAGTTACACATGAAACCGTTTCATGCAACTTGATTTGTCTGAAACGTGTGTTGGAATATAATTTGATACCACAGTTACAGACGGCAACAGGACAGGCGGGCAGGTGTTTCTGGTTGCTACGGTAACCACCAACCGTCAGGAGAAACGGCAAATAAAAGTCGGTAGCAGAAAAACTTGACTAAAAAAATAAATGAGTTTTGATGAAAGAACCCTTTTAGATGTATTAATCTTGATTTTATATAAACATTTTTAAGAACAAATGTCAGCATCTCAAACATATAAACTTTAATCTGTTAAAGTCCTAACAGCGGCCTGGGGGCCATTTTGTGGCCTCTGGCCCTCAAATGCAATTTAAGACTGATAGACTTGTTTATTAAACAAAACCTTAATAAACAGGTTATTTTTCATCAGGGTAAAATTATTTTTTTACAATGGAAAATGTTACGTAAAACACAAAGTATTTTACAACCAAACTTTAACAATAAGTGAGACAACGTTTACTAACTTTTTCTGGAAAGCCAACTTTGCTGCACCCAAATCAGCTTTTATTTAATTTCTTAAATTTGGCTAAATGTAGCAAACATTCTGGAAGGAAGTGACCCGAATCCTGTTGTTATAAAAGCCTAAAACAATTTGTAAATGTGATGAATACTTTTTAAGTTTCGGTTCTGCAATGAATAACATCCATTTCCTGCTGAAAAATGAAATATTTTATTTGCTTAATTTTAGTTTTATTTGGTACTTTTGACTCTACAATTTTGGCCTAAATGACAAAATTTACTCTGGGAGGAACTTCAGAGACTAAAAGTTAAATTTAAATTTGAAGTTCAGTTTCTGAAATTATTTACAAAATATGATGTTTAAACTAGAATAGTTTTTGGTTTCGAATGTTTTAGTTGAGTTAAATGAAAATTCTCGATTTAAATTCTAATATTTCGATTTGACTTTTCATTCAGTTTTTAAATTTGATACTTTATTAAGTAATTCATTTAGTGAGGTAAATAAACTGCCATAAATTTCAGATAAAATGCTGGAAATGTTTTGTTAATTTTAGAATTTGGTTCCTGAGTTCAGTTTAATCTTGGATACAAAATTATTTTAGATTTAGTTTCAGTTCGTTTCAAACTTTTGAATTAAGAGATACATTTTTAGTTTCAGAATTTAATCTGTATCTTTTTAGTTTATTTTCATTATAGATTTTAATTTCAGGCTCTGTTTTCTGTTAAAACATTTTATGTGATTAATGTTACAATAATCTGGAGTTAAATTTGATTTTAGTTTTGTGTCTGAATTTAATTTCTGGTTTATTTCAGGTTTATTCCTGAACTTTTAAAAAACATTAATATTTGTAAATTTAAACAGAAAAAAAATAAACAAAAATAAATAAAAAATCTTAAATGGAAAAAGAAAGTGTCATTTCTAATAACAGTTTGTTTTGTTATTACAATTAACTGTTTAATAATTGTTGCCAGATATTCACACATCTAGCAACAATTTGAACATTAAAATTAAAGATAAATAAAAATTTTGAATTAGAAGCTAATTCTTCTACATTCATGAATTGTTTGACAGAAATTGAGACATTTTTAAAATATTACAGTTTTACTTCTTTAGCCTAAAAAAATGATTTAGATTTTTTATTTGTTTTATGAAGGAAAAAAAGATTTTTATTTTAATCAATAACATTGCTTTAAATTTCAGTTTTTCCAGCTAAAATACTTTTTTCCACCCTGCTTCTTCTGCTTTAATTAATTACCAATAAATTGATCAGTTTGGATCATTTTCATTATAGACATTTTGACAAATTTTTAGAACTTGGGTTCAAAGAAGCAGCTAATTTTACTGTAATTTATTCTAAAAATCAATAATTATACTTCTTTTAAATTGTACACATTGAAAATTGTTAATTTGTTTTCTAAAATGTTATTTTTTAATGTTTAAGCTGCTGTCTTATTTCTAGAAACATTAGAGTACGTTTTCAGAAAGCAGAAAAACAGATTCGGTTTGAGAAAAATGTAAACTATTGATGCCAATTGACTCCTAAAAGTGGTTGGTTTGTGTTTAAATGCTGAGTTATTCTGCAGCTTCGTCGTCGGAGCAGCAGAAACTGTCCTTCTCTTCGTGTCTGAGAGTCCGAAGCGACTCAGACTCAGTCGCTCCTGAATCCTCGGAAGAGAGAGCCCAGTTTGCTTTCCAGGAACTCTGCGTGGGAAACCTGGACGACTTCCACATGGTTTATATCAGCCGCCTGACAGCAGCAGGAGGAACTTTATGCTAAATCAGGAAACTGGGATCTGGTTTTTATTTCTTAAAACAAGTTTCTGGACGCCACAGGCATGGAAAAAAGGGAGGAAACTTTTTTAGTTTCTGCTACACAAACCTGAAGTCTTCTCTAGCGGACAGAGTCCAAAGATTATACTCAAGTAGAAGTAAAATTACTTCAGTATATTTTTACTGCAAAATCAAGCAAAAGTAAAAGTAGCTTAAGAAATTATTTACGAGTAAGAAAGTATTTGATAAAAAAGTCTACTTAAGTACTGAGTAACTGATCAAATTATCAATCATTTAATATTACATAATCAGATGGATCAAAGTATGAAGTGGGAATTTTGGTATTTTAAGAACCTAAATGACAATAATTCATATGAATAACAAAAGTAACAAAATCAGGCAAAAGAAAATGTTTCCAAATTAGTTTCTTTCAATAAAAAAATATGAAACTTTAACAGAACTGCAGGTGTGTATCTGTCTGGTGGATCTTTGGTTAAAACTTGTTTTTCATTCAGTGGGTAAAAAATCCAGAAATTTTAATCAATTAAGAGTAGAAATACTTCATAATAAAAATACTCAAGTATAAAAATAAAAATTACAGCAAATAAAAATACTCCTAAAAGTAAATTTTTTCCAAAAAGTTACTCAAAAATAATTTGGTAAATGTTACTATCCAACTCTGATCACTTTTGAAACTTGGGATGTTTTCCAACCTGATAGTCCGGTCGACTCGATTCGGGACCAAAACTGCAACAGGTGTCACATTTTCAGCTGCTGCGGCTGAAACCAATCAAGCCCTCTGAGCAACCAGTTCCCCTCCTGGCCTGTGGGGGCGCTGCACCAAGAGCCACTGAAGGAAACGACACAAAAACCTCTGAAGACACTGAGCGCAACTTCCTTCTTCACCAAATGGAAATAAAAACACTAGTCAGATTTTAACAGTTGCAGGATTTTTAAAAACCATGAGCCATTTTTCACGCTAGCTCTAGGCTAGTGGGTTTGTTTTGGTTGCATTTACCCAGAATGCCCTGCTCTGCAGTCCGCTTCCAGTGTCCGGTCTGCTTGGCGTTCACATGTGAATTCGAACCGCACCAGAGTTCACTCCAACCAAACCGAAACCAAGGATTTCTTGGACAGAAAACTTTTTATTAACAAGTTTGAATAATAAACTGTTAAAGGTTTCAGTTTAGTTAAATGTTTTCTGTCAACTTCATTATCATGCAACAAAATTTTTTCCATATGTAGGTAAAATAGTGTAAAAGAAACCCTGACTGTCTGCTTATATCTTTCATTTTTTTCTTTTTTCTATTTTCTAACATGGCTTCTTGCTCTCTGCATCAATATGACCGTTAAAAATCTAAAAAAAAAAAAAGTTTTAGCTAAAAGCTCTCTGTACTGGATTTAAAAATATTTTCTACCTGTAAAACTGTTATTTCTTAAAATTTTCAGCATCAGACAAAAAATGGGAAAACCTCCAATTTAATAACTAATTTAAGTTTTATTTTGGAACACCAAAATAAACTGGTTTTAAGTTGTCTGTGGCTTTTTAAATCATATTTTTTATGTTAAATTTATTAGACTTAACCAAAAATATTCCTCTGAAATAGATGGAGGATTAAAAAAGAGCTAAAGTCCAAGAAAAATCCTGGAAAACTCCTGATTTAAACTTAAATCTGGTTTATTTTAACACATAATGAAAGTGACTAAGTTTCAGCCTACAGTAAGTGAACGCAGCGCCAATCGATTGGCCAATGGGCTGCTTGTTTTCATATCTCCATGGCAACAGCAGAACACGCCGCTGACACAGCCCAACTGAGCGAGTCTGCCGCTTGAAAACTTTTCTGTATTTACCAGCAGAAACAGACCGTAGCCGCATATTTATGTCCAGAGGAAGTAAATTATCAAAGGAACTGTTTGATTTGAATCTGGCAGCAGAGGAGAAACGGAAAAACTGACTTCCAGAATGAGAAATCCTCGTTTTTGCTGCAGTTTGTCTCCACCTGCTGGCCATTCTTCTTCCACTGCAGCTCTCCGCTGTTTCTTTGTTTCCAGACAAAGCAGACGAAGCAAATAAGTAAAATTACTATTACAGTCAGCAGGGCTCTGTTAAATGTTAAGTAACTCAAGTATTTTCCGTACAATATAAATATTGATAAGAAAATAAACAATGAAACTTCTCAACATTTTCCTACTTTTCTTCATTAGTTCTGGTAGAATATTTCAGTAGCAAAATCAAATGTTTATTCTATTTCTTCCTTTTCTTGGGGTTCTGGGTTTCTTTGCTGGATCTCCAGTTTGAGTTGCGTTTGTTTTCTCAGTCCTGAGCCACTTCCTGGTCTCGAGTTGTTGTCCCATCTGCGGCGTTTTGATGCCAAAGACACGCCTCTCCATTTCCAGCACCTCGTCGAACAGATACCAGGCCTCCACGTCCAGCATGAAGGAGAAGAGCTGCAGCAGCCAGACGAAGGAGCGCGGCAGCGTGGGCTCCATGCTGGGGTAATGACTGGCGCACGTCCTGCAGAGCAGATGAACACGTCTGGGTTCATAACGGGACGCCTCGTTAACGAGTCGCTGGCTGAGCATTCATAGACTCACCGGGGGTTGCAGGGTCGCAGCGGCGGATGCCAGTAGTTGAGGTTCAAGGGAGTCATGAATCCGTTACTCAGGGAGATGACTCCATCCAACTTGGTGTGGTGCAGACTGGGCCCGTCTGATCCGTTCTCATCGCCCCAGCAGAACTGGAAGCTGGAGGCACCGCCGTAATGGACGGCCACCGGACAAGAAGACAGCCTCTTTAAACACATCTGGACGTTCTCTGAGATTCCTGAAGAAACGACAGGGTCTCTTAGTATGTTACCCAAATCCCAATAAATCCCTGCAGACGGATGGGTCCCCAAAACTCAGCCGACTTCAATCGGGTTCGTCTCCGGTTCACAGTAATGAAGCCAAAACTAAGATGGCTCAGGTTTGTTGGTAACCTTTTCTACACCGCTCTCTCTAAAGTTATTTCAGAAAGTTGTAGGTCTGGACTTTGACAGACAATGGGATGAATGGACAGATGAGAGTATGAACAGATGAATGAGAGGATGAACAGATGGAGTGAAAGGACGGACAATGGGATGAATGGGTACATGATGGGAGGAATGGATGGACAATGGAGTGAACAGAAGGACGATGGGATCAACGGACGGAGGAGAGGAAGAACGGATGATCAAGGTTTTGAGGAGAATCGGTGATAAACGGTAACTTTGGGGGAGTCCAACCCTCACCAGAAACAAGTGAGACTTACTGCGTACGAAGCTCTGACTCCAGTCATGCAGAAACCTATCAAAGGTTTCCTGCTGTACTGATCAACCAACCTACCTTCCCACCCTGTGTGTAGTGACCCTGACCGTTTTCATGCTCATTCAGATTCTTACTTCTCCTTTTTGTCACTATAAGTCTGTCCCGCTTATCCACGAAGAACAGTTTCTTTCCTTTCCACTGTTTCCTGTGAAAAAAGACAGAAATGATCGGCTGTTCAGTAACTGAAGTCATATAAACACCTTCAGGTTGGAGGCCCTGATGTCTCACCTGGCAGTGTCCTGGTCCCTCCTCTGCTGGGCCTCCACCAAAGCAGCCTGAACCAGTTTGTACCACTTCCTGAAGCTGAACATGTCTGCTGTGAACCAGCAACCAAACAGAACACAAAAAACAGATTAACTTTTCATTTTCATACCATTATGACTCAACCCAATGCATTGGGGATGCACAATATATTAGCACCTTGTTCGGGTGGAAATTATGCATTTTCTACTATTTTCCAGTATTTTCCTGAGAGACAGAAACAATGACTGAAGTGGAGGAAAAGACAGATGGCAGAAAGACAGATGGACTGATAAGAGATAGAATGATGAATGGAGGAATAAATAGATCAACAGAAGATAAATGGACAGACAATGGACTGGATGGACAATAATCTGGATCTATTGATGCCACAACAATTAGATGAATTAGATAGGTGGACAGACAGATGAACGTATGAAAGGACAGGAAGACAGAGGATCCAAAAGATTGAAGAATGGATGAACAATGAGATGACAGGAATGGGTTAACAATGGGATAGACGGACAGTCAATGGGATGGCCGGGCGATGAGTTGGATGAATGGATGAATGAATGAATAGATAGGTAAATAGACAGATGGATGGACCACCTGGTAGATAAATAAAACCTTTAAGATAAAACAGAAACATGGAGGACCAACCTTTGTTGTCATGGGAATCAGCCTTGTTCAATAAATCCCTGAAACACAGAAACGAAAGTCACAAAGGTGCAGCAGAGACTGTGAGGTCTCCATGGAAACAGTTCAGGTGTGTCAGGTTACCACTCAGTGTGATCGTCCAGGCCAAACATCACCTTTATGGTGACGATGATGAGCGCGGCGGCCTGCAGGTCGTACCGCGGCAGGACGGGACGCAACCCTCCGTCCAACGTGTGGCGCTTCTGATCCGCCATACCTGCGCGGTCCATCAGGACGCAGACCCACCTGTGCAGCTCGTCTGAGGACCAGAACAGACGGGGGGGTCGTTAGTGGTCCTGGTACCAGTCTGCGGGACTGACTGGGTCGAACAGGTTACCGGGCAGGTTAGCGTCAGTCAGGTAGCGCAGGCTGAGCGGCGCCGGGTGGAGCAATGCTTCTGGGACGATCGGAGGAAAAGCAGGGAGCTGCAGGAACTGAACCAGAACCTGCGCTTCTTTATGGACCAAGCGGTGAGACGGGATACTCTGCAGGAACAAGAACCATCGTTAGCAGATAAAACGGGTCAAAAACAAGGAAAACCTATTCTCTATGGCTGGATCATTGATTCTCTAACTTTCAAAAGGCAAAAATTTATATTCAGGGGTTGCAAATAACCGAGCCATACCTCAGCAGGTTGAAATATTAAAGTATTTTTAAGTTGCTTACTGTTTAGACGACAGAACAAATACTTTGTTTATGGATTCAGGACACATTCAAATTAAAATTGAAAAATACTTTATTAATCCCAAAGGGAAATGAATGTTATAAAACCCAGTTATTCCATAAACTCACAGACTAAAACCAAGGAAAAACCGTTCAAAAGCCTAAATGTCGAGTAAATTATTACAACAGTACATTTTAACAAATCGGTCGGAAATCATCATTATTAACTGGACATGTTATCATTAGCATGTTAAAGTCAGAATTAGCGTGTAAAATTGGCTTTAGCATATTAAAATTAGCATGCTAAAATAAGAATTAGCATTTCAATTTGTAAAGCGTTAGCATGCTAATGCTAACATGAGCCAAACATAGTGAAAATTACGGTAGTACCTTTTAGTACAATGACCAACCTCAACATGGAAAAGAAGAGCATCCGGACCACACAGCTTCATCTCTTCTGGAAGATCCTCGTATGCAGTCACATACGGGACGTGACCTTCTTTTACCAGCCTGAAACCACAGATGGATGCTTAGGAGCAACTAAAGTTTAAAGGATTAGGATGGGTTAGAAAATAAAACTGAAAATAGAAATGTTTTTTTTGGTTTGACTGGAAGCCGTAGCCTTTAGCGTCTGGTTTAACTTTAACAAAGGTGAAAATAATGGGCCGAATCCAGAGCCTTGTGGAATTCCATTCCCCAATATTAAACTATAATCTGCTAAATTAGAGCACAATATTTGAACATTTATGTACAAAGTGCATAAAAAAGTTTTACCAAACAATATTCAATACAGATTTGTAAAAGGAGAAAGCAAATACAACTTGAAAGGAACTGAATAAATTTTTTCTAAGTAATTTAGATTGAGAACAGTGACAATGGAAATCTGCATTTCACTAAAAGGCGTCAGTTTATGGAATAATCTTGATAGTGAGATAAAACAATCTCAATCTCCTTCTGCCTTTAAAAGATAATTGAAAATTATTATGATGAAGCAACATGGCGTTGAATTAGTTAATGTTTTGTTTTTTATTTGAAATATGTTTGTAATAATTGAATAGCAAATTTCATTTTTTATTTCATGATTTTTTTTAGTTGTTCAATAAACTACTCATGTTTATTATGGAATAAATTAAATAAAAACATGAAATGAAAATAGGTATTTAGCAAAAATATCCAAGTTTTTCCAGAATATTTTTGAGATTAACTGAATTTTTTCTTTAGTTTTCTAGCAAACTTTCGACTTTCCAAACCCTTTCCAAGTCTTTTGGTGAAAATGTTCTCGCCTTTTTGTCCCTCTAGAACGGCTCTGATGCTCCATCGTATTCAAGTCTTTTAAACATTTTTAAAAGTGAAAACATGACCATCCAGGTGTGTTTTGCTACCTGAGCAGGTCGCTAAGCGTCAGAGCTTCGCGGCTCCAGACCAGAGCCAGGTGGATCAGAGCCAGAGTCTTCTTCATGGTCATCAGGCTGCGGCTCCGTTTCCACGACGCTGAGGTGCCTGTGCTGCTGTAGTCTGATCCCAGCCAATCACTGGAGCTCTCTGAGGGTTAAAGGAACATTTCAACCAATTGGAACAGTCTAAAAAATTAAATATTTCACTAAATTCACCATGGATTGATTGTTTAAATGTTTCTTTTTTAGTACCTGCATTAGAGCCAGCGGAGCTGCACAGAACTGACCCGGAGTCGGTGAAATTATCAGACAGAACCGATTCCGCGGCGCTGTCCATGTCTGTGTCCGAGTCCAACGCTGCCTGTTGGGAAAACATGGAGGAATTAACTTATGACTCATTTAAACATTTTTACAAAGACTAAAATTAGTTTAAGAAGTAAAATCACAATTAAAATGCGTATATTTTGATTTTAGCCCTGACACTTTATGATAACCTAATAAAAAGACTTGAGTGAAACTTTGTTAAAATTATAGAAAAATTAAAACGGCAAAAAATATTTACAGAGCAAATTTTTTTTTTAATTTTTACTCTGTAAAATTATCAACAATACAAAATATATTTTAAGCATTACTGAAAAAACGGTAAATTAACTAAAATGATCAGAAATTACCTCAAAAAGAAAATTCCCTGTAAACACGAGCTAAAAATTACAGAAATAAATTCTATTAAAATCTTCCCAGAATAGAGTGAACATTAATGAGAAAAAAGTAGTTTCTCTGAGATAAAAAATAATTTTAAAATGACAAAAATGTAGATGAAAGTGTCAAAAAACAACCAAAACAAATGGGTAAAAATGGCAGAAACCTGAAAACATAAATTATATTTAATGAAACAAACAAAAAACAAACCTATACCAGTGATGAACAAAAGGAAACTGACCCCTCTGAACCTTAAATTCCTGATTGGGTTTCTGGTGTATCCCTGCTGGCTCTTCTGCAGATAAAGTCTCCACATCTGACACAGAACGTCGTCCTGAAACCAAAAGCATCAAACTAACAAAACGGGATTCATCTACTGGTAACGGATCAATGGGAATGACGGGAGCGGACCTTAAACTGAGGAGTGACTCCCAGTCTGAGGAGAGCGTCGGCCTGGTTCTGCAGGATGAACTGGAAACCTTCGCACAGCATCCAGATGTAACCGCGCTCTGAGGAACAACAAATTATTAAAACATCTGGTAATATGAACATTCCAGAAAACAGTGTCAAAAGACGTTTAGATACTTAATTATTCAGGTGTTAAAAGTTAAGTTTTGACAGCAAACTTAGAATTTCTGGGAAATTTTTAAGTTAAAACTCTTAAATAAAAAAAGTTTGATATGTGAAAAAGAAACAGGAGGTTAAAACCAACCTGACTTCCTGATTCTGGATTTATTGCCGATCCGGGAAATTCTGTTGGAGTTGGAAGTGAACGACATGTCCACCACCTCTCTGGTTCTCTGAGGACATTTGGATAAAACACCAAAAACAAACAAACAAACAAAAACAAACAAAAATCACCACTTATCCAGGAGACACGTTGAATGCACAACAGTGACACCTGCAGGACGGTTGGTGGTACTGCTGGGAGCACAAGCTCAATTTGAGTGGATCTAGTAAAAAAGGCGATTGTAAATGGAAGAAAATGAAGAAAAATTTTCTGCCAAAAACTTTAATTTTTTTTAGATCAATATCAAAAATTTTCAAGGAACAAAACAGAAAATTTGTGAGTTTGAAAAGTCCAAAATTTGCTAAAAAAATAAAAAAAATAAAAACCCGGAAAAAAATCTAGAAAAGAACAAAAATAAAAAATCAAACATGTTCAACTTTTGGAATTAGAGTTAGAAAAGACTTTTAAGTTAAAAATTCTCCACTTTTGGACATGTTTTGGGTTTGAACAGGCTAATTTTTTTCACTTTGGAAACTCAGTGATATCCTTGTTTTTTCACATTTCTGAGTTTTTTTCCTTTGTTTCAGAAATTTACTCCATTTTTGTTCTATCTGTAATGGCCCCAATCATTGTTTAAAGTCAAACTCTGTCAGAGAAAGATTTGTTTGGGAGTTACCTCGATGACATTGTGGCAGGACCTGCAGTAGAAGCGACCCTCGTCTGAGATGCCCCAGTCCACGGCTGCACACTGATTGCAGGGCTCCTTGTATCCGTCCTGAACCAGAGGAAACACAGAAGGACAGGTGAAGGTGACACACCTGGCTGAGTCTCAGTGAGATCTGATTTTTATGTATTAAAAACGAGCCAAGCAAGAAAACAACAAGTCTAACAAACAAACAAAACATAACAGCTTCTATTTACTCATGCTTAAAAGAATAAATTGATAATATAAATAAATCTTTCCTTTTGCTGAGATAAAATCAGCTGGTTAAAATATCAATAACAGTTTGATCTTTATATGAATAAATTGTCATTAAACATTTATTTTAGAACATTTCAAAGCTGCTGAAACTATTTTAATTAACAACAGTAAAAGGTTGGCGGGAAGACTGTGGAAAACTTATCATAAAAAAGCATATCTTACATAATTTTATGGCCATGATTTGTAACAGTAGCAATATAAAGAACCAAACTAATTTATTAAAATTAAAACCTGCTATCTGTACCAATATTTACAGTTTTGCAGATAGCTGGAAGTTAGCAGTTAAAAACTATATTCGCCGATTATTAAATAAGATGCTGTCTTATCAGGATCAGTAATTAAAATATATTTATAGCACGTTTCAGAGTTTGTTAATCAAAAACATGATTAAAAAACAGGTTTTGTTTACGGAGTTCGATGCAAATCGACTAGCTAACATTAATTTAACTCTTAAAAACAAAGATATATTGAAAGAAAGTTTAAAATAACTAAATAAAAGTTGAAGGGAAACCACTGGAAAATGTTTATAGAAAACAATTCAGAATTTTATGGCAATAAATTTTAAAGCAGTATAATGATATAGTCAATCCAAAATATTTGAACAAATATGGTTTTTTTAAGTTTGCTGAAAGTGAACAGTTAAAATCTATGTTCTCCGATTATTTAAAAAATGCTTTATATCCAAGATCAGTAAAAAAAAATCTGTATAGGATGTAAATTAGTTTGTTAATGAGAAGATAATAGAAAAAGAACTGGTTTTCTTAACGGAGTTTGGCGCAAATCACCTAGCTAACTCCAACATATACGTTTTCTGAGTGACATTTACACAAAAATATTTAATTACTGATCAGTGCTTACCGTATCCTCTTCATCCATGGTTAAGGTTCAAATTTATCGGTTTCGCATTGATTTTTATCAAATGTTAATGTCCGCAATCGCTCTATCATGTGGAGCATAAGAGTAGTTTGGATTTCTTCTTCTTGTTTTCTTTCAGGCTGGAAGTTGCACTGCTGCCACCAGCAGTCCGATCCTCGAACTACAACACCCAACAAGTCAAATTAACTTTGGGACTTTCGTAACTTTTGAAACTTTTACGATCCTGAACCCGTGAAACTGAACAAACGCACAAGAACGTTCTCTTAAGACGTGTAAATTTCGTGAAAACCTTGGAGTTTTCACAAAATTATACTCCCAGAAATTTTACACACAAGTCTGCTTTTATAATTTTGCATTTTAATGTGTTTATCTGCTTGTTAATGTCTGTGATGCTTTCTTTGCTCTAGTTTATGAGATTTTTTGCTTCCTCAATCTAAAAGCGGATTTGGGTGAGATCAGAGATTATAAATAGAGCCGCCAGATGTTTCCGCTATATTCTCTTACATAACGTCACGACACGAGTTCCTTTTGTTTAAAATGTGTGTTTATTGTTGTTTTGTTTCAGTTTTTAATGTTTTATTTATTTATTTTTTATTAAATCACAGTCACCATGAACGGGTTCAGGTTTCACGAGCAAACGCACACCGCGAGCGCCTCATCAGACCGTCAAGTTCACGTGCGCACGAACAAAAAAAACCCGCGGGCTTTCAAAATAAATGCATTTCTGAAACAATTTCGTACCGTATGAAGAAAATCAGATTTATTTCTATTGACTTGTCTTACTTAATCCCAAATTAAGCCTTATTTTTGTATCTAGTTGAATGTTGTTAGATAAAACACGATGCTTCGCAAAACATAAAAAATAAAATAAAAATGTTTATTTGACATTCAAGATGTTCCATTAAACTAGCTCAAAAAACCATGAAAATGACATTATGCAGCTGTTTTTAAGTGGCTTACCTTCATAGATATAAAAAATTACAAAAATAAAGATTAAATAAATTCAACAAGTACTACTGAAAGGCTGAACCTGTGACAATTACAAAGCTCTTTGGTCACTTTTTCACCGGTTTTCAGAGGATTTATTTTCTCTCTTCACATTACTGTCTTACTCTGACCTATTCCAACATTCAGGCATGAAAAAAGCTACTGAACTGAATGGGTCAAACTGTGTAATGTGCCCAACTGAGCGCAAATATGTTGAAACAGAGACTTTAAAAATCAGATTTTCTTTTTTTCCTGATTTTGTAGCCACTCTGATGAATTCGGTTTGGTGTTCCGCAAAGCATTATTCAAGACTTTGTATATTAAAGTTATTATAGTTGCTTACTAAATTAAATTTAAACAGGTCCTAGCTTCTTGCTTTTAATCATCCTAAATGTTGATTCAGTGTGAATTCCATTACTACTGTTGATTTCATGCTTTTATTCTGAAGCCGTCAGGCCTACTTCCGCCCCGCCTCCTTGCTTCTCGCCAGCTTTCCTTATCGGTTCTCGGTCTTCCTGGTTCTGCGGAGTTGGAGTCGTTTTCTCTGCGCCTTTCTGTAACAAACAATGACTTCATCCGATCTGGATGCGGATATTTTAGTTTCTAATAGAAAATGTGTTTAAAGTCGGAGGTTAGCGGCTGACCTTTCGGGACCTTTCCCTCCGTTGAGTCCGTCCCGCTGCGGATCATCCACCAATCTGTCCAACATGGGAGCGAACTTCGTTGTTTTGACACTTTTTGCAGTTTTTCTCTCCAGAACAGAGCCTGCTGTGTCTCCACCCGAAGACAAACAGCAGCAAGAGTTTGGTAAATTCTCCAAACATGGAGGTTTATATGAAAACCTCCTGACTGAAGTTAATTCAGGGAGACAGAGGCGATTCCAGGAAAGTTCATAATGGTGGCCATTGATCTGGGGGCCAGAAAAACTTGAACTAACAAAAAAATCAGTTTATTTTGAGTCCAGATATTAAGACCACTGCCTCAAGGCTGATTTAAAGATGTAATTTTTCATAATATCATGTAGTACCTCAGTAATACTACTTAAGAAGAGTTAAAGACGTTTTAAAATTTTAATGTAACTTAATTTTTCTATTTGTGGAAAAAAATAAGTATAAATAATATTTTAACCCATTTTCATCAAACTTTTGGTTTTTGCTCAGAGATCTGAGCAAAAATTGTCTGACCAATCTAGAATTACAGTTTTAGCATCTCAATGGCCAAATTTATCAAATTATACAAAAAAACATTTTTTTATTACTTGTGTGTTTTTGTTGTCAATTAGATATTAGTCAGTGTTTTCCCTCCACCTGACCCCTTACTTGGTTTTAAACTTTTTGTTGTGTCCTTCCTCTGCAGAACCTCTGCGGTCCATGCTGGACAACTTCGACGTTCTTCCATTCTCCAGCCTGCAGACCCACTCCGTCCGCCGCCGGGACGTCCAAACCGAGGCACACGTGGAGAAGCTGCTGAGCTTCAACGCCCTGCAGAGGTTGGACCCCAAAACTTCACCTATTCCTCTGAGCTGATCATCCAAAATATAAACTCCCCCTTTCCTTCTTCCTGCTGATTCCAGGAACTTCAGGCTTTACCTGAGAACCAACAACGAGATCTTTACAGAGGATTTCAAGGCCGTCGTGGAGGACGAGGATGGACAGAGACGAAGCTTCCCGGTCAACAGACACAACTACTTCACCGGACACGTCATCGGTAAGGTGTTCTTCAAGGTTTCAGTCCTTTAAAAAACGCTGGGTTTATGAGAGTCCTTGGAGAAGCCTTGACGGATCAGACGTCCCTGAAAACCAGGCAAAGAATTTAGAAAATGAGGCTTTAGATGAATGTTTGATCGACTTTGATAAGAATGAGCAGGGAGTTGCTTTATATTTGTGTTTTCTCTCTTCTAGGGGAGGAAAACTCTCGTGTTCAGGCTCATATCGACGACCACGAGTTCTCAGCTCACATCCTGACGGACGAGGCGGAGTACAACATCGAGGTAAAGAGCAAAGAAACTCAGTTCCTAGTGAATAAACATGGAGTCACTTTAAAATGTCTCGTTCCTCTCTAGCCTCTGTGGAGGTTCACGTCAGCGCCCCCCGATGGCCGCCTCCTGATCTACCGGTCGGAGGACATCAGGAACATCAGCAGGCTGCAGCAGCCCTCAGTCTGCGGATACGTGGCGTCTGAATCCGCTCACCTTCTACCGGAGGGGGTCAGGACGGCGACGAAGGGCGATGAAGAAGGTCAGTAGGATGTCAAAACAAGTCGGACAGAGAGTTTCTGTTTTACGATGTTCAACTATTTCTTTTTCTCTCGTTGATGTATGATGATTTAAAAAAAATCATATGAAAAGATACATTTCTGGTAAATCTCCAATTAAATATTTGTAAATATATTCCAAAATCACCTCCATTTGCATAAATTCAGCCATGATTTTATGGAATGATGAAGTATCTGTGAAATTGTTCTCCTTGACCTTTATGCTGCTTCTACAACTGTTTTCTTGCTCCATTTCTTTTGACTACCCAATCAGTAAAGGAGTACCACAAGGTTCTGTTGTTGGACCACTCTATTTTCTCCCCCTCGTTTTGACTCATTTACCGTATTTTCCGGACTACAGAGCTCACCTCACTATAAGCCGCATCCACAAAGTTTTTTTTTAAAAACTGGAAACGTGCATACATAAGCCGCACTGGGCTATAAGCCGCATGTTTCAAAGTGTGGGAAAAAGTAGCAGCTTATATTCCGAAAAATACGGCAGTTTATATTCCGTTGACACATTTTTACTGCATTCTATATTTTTCAACATTTTCACATGTTGAGAAAAATTTGTAGTAGTTTTATGGTGGATAATTATTCCAATCTATTAGCAACAAAACTCTCAAACTTATGTCCTTTCAAAACATCTCTTTGGTCTTTCTCAACTAAATCCTGTTTAAAGAACCAAATTCATCTCTGGAAAGACTCCAGAAATTGGTCAAAAAACAGTAAAAATTACGTTATTACATTTTTTTGTAAAACAACCCACCATTTGTCCATCTTGTCTGCTCAGAGTCAGTGTTCAGAGGGAAACGCCAGGTCACCGACCATAAGAAGAACACGTGTCCAATGCTGCTGGTCGCAGACCATCGCTTCTACCAATACATGGGCCGAAAGGAGGAGAGCACCACCATCAACTACCTGGTTAGCTCACAGCCTCCATGTTGCTTCTTTTCCCCACTTCTAGTGATCTGACCTCTCCATCTCTCTCTGTCCAGATCGAGCTCATCGACCGCGTTGACGACATCTACAGAAACACGTCATGGGACGAAGAGTTCAGCGGTTACGGAGTTCAGATCCAGCAGGTGAGGAGGAGGCCGCCGCCGCTGGTCGCTGCAGTGAAGACGACCAGATGTTGAAGTGTGAAGATGTTGTGTTTCTGCTGCCAGATTATCATTCAGAAGTCTCCCACTGAGGTCGGTCCTGGAGAAAGTCACTTCAACATGAGGGGCAGTCCAGTGGAGGGAAAAGACGTCTGGGACGTCAAGAAGCTGCTGGAGGTAAGAAATGCTGAACATTAGCAGGCGAAGGGGAGAAACGGGCTTCTGTTCGTCTTCCATGTTGAGAGGAACCTGTAGCTTAGGAAGCTAGCATGGCTGGATGGATGTTAGCATGGACGGAAGTGCTTCCATGCTCTGTTTTAATGAGTGTAAATAAATAGTGCATCCTGATCAGAATAACGATTTAGTTGCAGCTCTGAGCCCATTTGCTCCTCTCTGGATTTAAGCCTTCAGTATTTGACTCTTTTTGGAGTTGACCATTTCCTGTCTGACCTCCTGCAGCAGTTCAGTGTGGACATTGCAGAGAATGCCTCCAGCGTCTGCCTGGCCCACCTCTTCACCTACCAGGACTTCGACGAGGGGACCCTGGGCCTGGCCTACGTGGCGCCAAACAAACCAGACTTTCCCGGAGGGCTCTGCTCCAAACGTAAGCGCCAAAGTTTCCTCTACAAGTTGTCAAGGTTACCGTCAGCATCGCTGTAGTGTTTCTGAACTTGCTGTTCAGCTTGTGTTTCGACAGCAAACAAACACGGATTCATCTGTCTGAACACGGGCCTCACCAGTACCAAGAACTACGGGAAAACGATCCTGACCAAGGTGAAGTCCAGAAGCCCTTTCTGAGGGTTTTTCAGTTTTTGTAGCTTTTTTCTGATGGATTGTCTCTACAGGAAGCAGACCTGGTGACGACTCACGAGCTGGGCCATAACTTCGGAGCGGAGCATGACCCAGACAACGTGCCGTACTGCGCTCCGCGGGAGGATCAGGGTGGGAAGTACGTCATGTACCCCATCGCTGTGAGCGGAGACCACGTCAACAACAAGGTGCCGAGATATTATAGATAGATGGACAGATGTTAGCATGGATGGATGGATGCTAGGGTACATAGATAGACATATGCTAGCAGCCATCCAACAGTGCATGCTAGAAGAGATCGATGCTACCATGGACTGATGGATGATATAAGCAACCAACCATCAATCCTATCATGCAACAAGATGCCATGTTTTTTCCATTGTAAACCAGAAAAAGTTTCATGACGGTTCCTTTCCATTTCAGCTGTTCTCCAACTGCAGCAAGCAGTCCATCGTGAAGCGGCTGCGCTCCAAAGCGGCGTCCTGCTTCAAGGAGAGGAACGTCAACGTGTGCGGGAACTCGCGGGTGGAGCAAGGCGAGGAATGCGACCCGGGGTTGCTGCACTTCAACTCGGACCGCTGCTGCACCCAGGATTGCCGGCTGAAGGACGGAGCGGAGTGCAGGTCTGAGTCGCTCCAGGTCAGGGGTTCAACGCCGCTCCGATCGGCTGATCCGCCATCTTTCTTTGTTCAGTGACAGGAACAGCGCCTGCTGCAAAGACTGCAGGTTCCAGGTGAGAGGCGAGGTCTGCCAGGAGCCCATCAACGCCACCTGTAAGGGCCACTCCTACTGCACAGGTCAGGACTCTGGGTTTCCTCTTCTACAGGAATACAGATGTTTTGTTGGACACTTGTTGCTTTTAACAGTCAAAACAAGGAAGAATTAATTGAAAGTTTCAAACTGGAGCTATTTTAAAAATACTTAACTTTATTTATATTTCAATTTGAAATATTAACTATTTAAAAATATATGTGTATAAAAATAAACTTTTTTTTCTCGAATATTTTAACATATACATGAATTACAAAAAGTTCTGTTTGCCAACAGGAAACAGCAGTGAGTGTCCTCCGCCGGAGAACGCTCCGGATACAACTGTGTGTCTGGACAACGGGGAATGCCGTGGCGGAAAGTGTGTTCCCTTCTGCCAGGTGGTCAAAAAGCTGGAGTCCTGCGCCTGCAACGGTAACGCTGCTGCATGGGTTCGAGAGCGGTTCTACTGGGGAGTGTCACGGGTTCGAGAGCGGTTCTACTGGGGAGTGTCACGGGTTCGAGAGCGGTTCTACTGGGGAGTGTCACGGGTTCGAGAGCGGTTCTACTGGGGAGTGTCACGGGTTCGAGAGCGGTTCTGGTTCTCTGATGAGTAGCGAGAAACACTAACTTGTTTTTTTCTGGAAGCTGAAACTGTCTTCCTTGTGAACCTTCGGGTCTAACCGAACCTTCTGGTTTCTTCCCAGAAACAAACTCGTCCTGTAAAGTCTGCTGCCGGGGGAGCAACGGAGTCTGCAGCCCCTTTGTTGACGTGAAAGGCGACTTTGTGTATTTGCGGAAAGGCAAACCTTGCACTGTGGGCTTCTGCGACGGAGCGGTGAGTCAAACACTCATGACCATTTAGTGTTGGCAATGCACCATCATAGCTGGTCTGCCAACCAGAAAAAGAGTCCCTTGCTTACGGTCTGGATGACCGCTAGAAGTAGTGCAAATTACCAAAACCATAGGGCCAAAAGGGGTACTTTCATTCTGACTCAAAGGTCTGTAGCTGGTCTAACCAATGTTCCTTTAGGAAGATAAAGAAGGGCCCTGGTTTTCTGTGATTCTTAGTTCTAGTGGCCATTCAGAGACAAAGGGAAGGATGATCACTGGGTTAGAACCAGGAGTTACAGACACACATCAAACTGGACCTGAAGAGTCCCCGTTGGTTTAACCTGATGATTGTTCCTCAACCTCAATAACCAGAAGCCCAAAATGGAAAAGGCATCTACTGAATCCCCTTGAACACAAAGCAAAGAGTTGGGGACCCTTAAGGCTTCAGATCAACCATAAGGGCTTAAACTGAATGAGCCATTCCTGTCTGTACAGGGGAAGTGCATGAAGCAGGTGCAGGATGTGGTGGAACGTCTGTGGGACTTCATTGATAAACTCGACATCAACACGTTCAGAAAGTTCCTGGCTGATAACATCGTGGGCTCAGTGGTGGCGTTCTCGCTCCTCTTCTGGGTTCCTTTCAGCATCCTGGTCCACTGTGTGGTTGGTGTCACTCCTCACAGACGCCTCTCTGGGGTTTTTTCTCCCTGAAAGCCGTAACTTTGTTCTGCTTTCTGTACTTCCAGGACAAGAAGATGGATAGACAGTATGAAGAGACCACCAAGTCTCTATTCTTCTCCAGCGTGAGTATGAGCGTCCTCAGTCATGCTAGATATAGCAGATAGCAGGATGTAGGCATGAGGTCCAACAGCTTATTAGATCAATAAACAGTCTGGTTGAAGATGGCATTGTTCTTTGGCAAGACATAAACTGATAATCACTGGCGTTTGGTTAGCCTTTACCTTAGGAGAACCCAGTCAGCATTAGTTGAAGGTCAGAAACTCCTGCTCACCAGCTGCAGTTTCCTGTAATTGGCTTTTGTGCCATCCTCTTTGCAGCCAACATCTCCAATTTGGAACCACTTCCACCAGATGGTACAAGTCAAATCTAACTTGAAGCCAATCAATTTTATTGGCAGCAGACTGCATTTATTGATTGACCCGTGAATTCACATCAATAACATCTTAACCACCATTTTCAGCCTATGATGAAACTGTAGTAGCTGCAAATCAATTTCTTGAGGTCCAACCTTTTCATCAGTTGTGGGAGAAGAGCATACATACCTTCGACTCAACGGGACAATCAACAACGTGCAAATGTACCAAGGGATTTCTGAGAAACTGGCCTCAAGAGTAGATGCACAAAATGACGTCATCTGAGTGTCAACCACAGCTTCCCCTACATGTTCCTGCCTATTTTCACACCAACATACTGAGGATCACGCTGCTAACAGAGGCTAAACCCAAACCGGAGATTAAACAGCTACACTAAGACTTCACAGTGGAGAGGAAGCTCTTACTGACTCTGAGCCAAAGTTTTTAATCAGTTTCAGACTTGGTGATCATTTCAGGGTAAAGGAAAACCCTGCTTTAGTTTGAGGCATTCAATGGTCAGGTTTCACTGGGATTTGGTCGAAGAGCCGTACAGCTGTAGAAGCCACAGGAACGTCAGAGAAAACAACAGAGGAAGTTTATCTTAAGGTGTTGCAGCTTCGTCTATGTTAAACTTCAGATTGGGGAGTTTTTTGGCTTAACAGATCCTCTAGAAAGAAATCCTTTACAAATACTTTTGCAGTGGTGGGCACATTTCTGCTAATAATGGAGCTAATTTTCCACTTAGTTCTTGAGCCAACTTTGTTAACGTTTAGCATGAACAGGAGCAACATGGTTGAATAGTTGTTGAATTTAACAATGCTAACATTGTTAGCATTGTTTTCTACTAAATACCATGCTGGTAGCACTTTAGCGTTAGTGGGACTAATGTTTATGACTTGGGGTTTGCATAAGTAACTTTTTAGTTAGCGGTGCTGACCACTGTCCTTTGATTTCCTTCTGTTTACTTTCAGATAACTGAAGGTTGACAGCAGGTTCCAGTCTAGTCATCACCACACTGACAGTCCTTTTTTTTCCCAGAATGCCGAGCTCCTGAGCAGCCTTGATTCTGCTTCTGTCCGGATCTTCAAGCCTCTAAACTTCCCGCCCGCCCCTGTGCGGCTCCCACCGATCAGCCCGCAGCTTGCCAGCACACCGCCGGTCTTCGGTGCCGCCCCCGCCTCGAGCCACACATCCCCGCCTCTGGATGCGCCCCACATGGCCACCATCTTGGAGAACCCCAGCCTGGACTCCCACCTGGATGAGGAGGAGCTGCAGGAGGCGTTCGGGCGCCCGGCTGGAGCTACTCGCCGTTCATTTGAGGACCTGACGGAGACAAACCCGATGAGACGCAGCAACAAGTCAAAGCTGTTCAGACTTCAGAGGCAACATCAGATCGACAGCAAGGAGACTCAGTGCTGAGAGACGCTGCCAGGGGGCGCTGCTGCCCCTCATCCGTTCCTTAAAGCTGATCCCTGAGCTCACCTCCAGCTGTCTCAGGTAACACAATGAAGCCATTTTCAAACACAGCTTGGTGTCGATTTATAATCTGTTTATTTTTTAAATAATTTTCTGATCTTTTTTTGTGTTCGTCACTCATTTTCCCTTCTAAAAAGGTACAACTTTTAACTTTGCACTTCAGTGGTTGAAAGAATACATTGAAGTTTTAGCATTTTTAATTATTTGATATAAAAATCCATTTTTTTTCTGATCTCATCACAATGCTAACATCTTCCCACTCTGCTTTTCCACCTCAAGGTCCAATATTTTCACAATTAAAGCGCAAAGATGTCAACCAATCATCAGTTCCAATAAAGTCCTGATAGGGGTTAAAAATAGGATCTGCTGAAATTTAAAACCTCTCAGTTTGAGAGATGTGAAAGGGAGCTAAAAATTAAATTTAAATTTGTGTTTTTGATTCTTATCAGAATGAATTATCCATAGTATCCACTGCCTAAACATAGTTTATAAAAAAATGGAAGCAGTCTTTAATTTCATTCTAAATAACTGAGGTAAGAAAGATAATAACTTGATTCTTGTATAAATAAAACTTATTTTGTCTCATATTTCTCTGATTCTGGTTATCAAAATGAGATGAAATGAGACCAAAACAGGTGTCAACTTTTATGATTTCTGTAAAACAAAATGAGCTCAAATTATGTTAAACATAAGAGTTGAAACTGTTATAACAGCAGAGCTCGCTTTTATCTTAAGATAATGGGAGAATGAAACTGATCACGTCACATGGAGCTGAATGCAGCAGTTCAAGTTTACACAGAGGAACATAAGATTTGGCTAAAGATAATGAAATAAATCATAAACCAAACTGCTCTGACTTGTTTCAACATCTTCAGATAATGAATTCAGTGTTTCATTAAATACATTAAATACTGAATTACAACAAAATGGTCTTCAGGAACAGACTGTTGGCAAAAAAAGCAAGCGAGAGGCTTTATGTCGACATAATGAAACATTGACAAAAAGTCAAAATCTCAAAGATATAAGTAGCTACTTGTATCTAAATAATTTCAAAAAGAAATATCACTTACCAACTGATAACCCCCAGATGCTTAGAGCTTAACCACACTAAGCCCAAAGAATAACCAAAAAACTGTTAAATTTTACTGACTTTACATGTCAGCAGTGGATCTAAAATTAATTTAACCAGAAAATCTGGGATTCATAAATAAAAAATGTGAAGGTTTTTTCTTTAAACTTTCAAAATCGCCTCAACAAATATTCTTCAAAATAAGAGACCAAGACATTTAAGCATGAACTACTGCAAAATTCATATTTTCTCATTTTCACACGATGAATGTGAAAGACAAAAAATTCTGCATTTTTATACAGTTTTGCAAGATATTTTACAGAAAATATTTATTTTTACACGATTTAAAACAGTTTGTGGGACTAAAGTTAAAGTTTTGTTTAACAGGATGGTGCTTTTTATTCGTGTTTTTTAAAGTTTGTATTTCTCTAAAGCGAATGAAACTCACTTTAGAGAAAAAAAACAATCAAAAACGCAGTAAAACTTTAGAAAACAATTTAAAGATGGTTGATATTTTTAAATATGCTATAAACTGCTTTGAAACAACAAGACTTGTACAAATCTAAATTAAAACCAAAGAATTAGACCAAACTTTATAGTTTTGGTGAAAAAAAAAGTGTTGTATTTTTGTTTTATTGTATTAAATATCTGTTAAAGTGTTAAAACCACCTCTGTCAGTATTTTGGGATGTTGTGTCTTTTTGTTTTAATGCGTTTACTTTTATTTAAATGTTCAAAAACTGCAGCTTTTACATGAAAAATAAAAACTACTGTTCAGAAAACCTTCTGCATGTTTTCATTTTACAAAAGCTTTAAAATCTTCATTTATTCAGCTGAAGAATTTGGTTTAAATAAAATTAGAAAAAAATAGCAAACTGCAGTAAATATGCAAAAAAGTGTTAAAAATTAACAGAAACTCCTAACACACATACATGTCAGGTGTATTTTCACAAACTTTAGAAATATGTTGATTAAAAATAATAATGAAATATGTATGTGGTCTGAAACCTTTGTATTACATCGCATTTCCATTTATTGTGGTTCTAATCTCACCAAAATAACCTAAGTTTCCTCCAATGGATAAATATTATTGATTTGATTCATGTAATCACCTCGATTGCAGTCAGAGCTGGACAATCTGGAAGAAAATTACATTTATAGAAATCTAACAGGTTAATAAGATATAAATGTTCCAGAACAAATTTAAATAACAGGAATTAATTAGATTTATTTTCAAAAATTGTCAAACTAAACACTGAATTTCCTGTAAGAAAAGTAGGACAAGTCGGAGAAATCTCACAAAATTAGTTTTATCTTGTACAAAAACAATCGTTACGGACGTCTGACAACAGCTGTGTTGTAAACAAAATAATCAGTTGGAATAAAGTGGGCGTGGCCTGTCAGAAGACGGGCGTGAGGGCCTCAAAGAGTCGATGGACGGCGACTTCAATCATTTCTCTCAGAGGCTCGTCGTCCAGACACGTCACCGCCTGCAGGATTAAATTCAGTTGTTACAAAAATTGTTACAAAAATGCTGATATATTAAATCAAATATGACTTAAAAAAAATTTGACTAGAAAATTTAACGCCTCCAAATTGGGCCTGTCTTTTTAAAAACTGACTCTGAAGCTCCGCCTTCAGGAAGTCATCACAACATGGCTCCTCTATTCACCCTTTAACAAAGTTTTTACCAGCGTTGCTCTGAGCAGTAGCTCCTGTAATGAGCTCTGCAGCTCCACCAGCTGTTTGCTAATTGCTGCTGGCTAGTCTGAAGGTGCTGAGTGGGGGGGAGTGTCCTTGAAGATGGAGCTATGTTGCCATGGAGATTAAAAAAAATCTCAAACATGCACAAAAGAATCAAGGCAACACTGCAGGAATATTTTTGATGAGGGAATAACATAACATGATGTAAAGTTCAAAAAAGTAGATTTTATATAATGATATCAACTAAAAATTTTTTAGAATGTATGGACTGTATATGTTAACCAGGAGAAGTAATAAAAAGCAGATGTATTTATTGGCACTTCCGGCATTCCATATTTTTTCTCCTTTTGTATAAGAAAACAGAAATCTTCTCGGCCTGAAGAGGGCGCTGCTGTATTGGAACATACAGCAGCGCCACTTTCTTTGTACTCACTCTCGTCTCCGGGTCGATTGTTGCCGTGGCGCCGTCCACCGTCACAAACAAATTCCTGCTGTCTTTGAAATTTACGCAGTCGTCCCCGAACATGTCACTGCAACACACAAAGCGATCAGGTTGCTGCTCCAGTTGTCGGGCTTTTATTTTGAAAACAGCGGTTTGTGTGCCGTGTGGACTCACTGCATCATGAGCTCCAGACGCTCCACAAACACCTCCATGTCGAAGGTCTCCTTCCTGTCCAGGACTGAAAAACAAGCAAACAAAGGTCAGAGGCTCCAGCCGAGTCCCAGAGCGCCCCCTGCAGGCGGTCGTGTTGCGTTTACTGACACTTCTGGGCGCTGGGATTGGACTGGACCTCCAGAACCACAGTGGCGACGGCGTCTGCGTACATGTCGTTGAGCGGGTTGGCGACCCACTGAGGAGGAAACAGACATTTGACATAAACAACCAGCTGCACTGTTGGAGAAAAACCTTTAAATATAAAGAAATCTGTAAAATAATAATTAAACTTCATATTACATTAGTTAGAGAAATATTACAAACACTATGCTAATTTGAAACTAACATAAAAATAGTGTTTTTAATTTAAATATTTGTTTTTTCATGCAAGCAAGTAAACATGAAGATAAAACTAAATTAGTTGATTTAATACGCAGAAAAAAACTTTATACTTCAAATAAATGTTTCAAACTCATATTTTACACATTATTTATTATATTAATTTATAATTTCCTATGTACATGAACAGTTGTTAAACAATTTCCTGTATTTCCTTACCAGATTTCAATTTTTTTTATTTTTTGATATTTCTTTTATTTTTAAAAATGCAAGTAAAATATATGTTAAACAAAGACAAATAATAAAAAGCAAATTTATTTTTTGTACACTGAAACTGATTGCCAGTTTTGAGTCTTCTGGCATTCCATACTTTTATTGCTTTTGTATATTTTGACTGAGGATATCAATGTGTAAAGTGAAACCCAAATTATAACATATTTTCTTTTTTTTTTCATCAAAATTACAATCTTAGGTTTTATATTACCAAGTATGTTTTAGACCTCCAAATTAAAATTTAAGCCTTTAAAACACAAAATATTACAATTTATCACAAAGTTAGCCATCATATGACGCAGCTTATAAATAGTCTGACCTCCAGCAGCACCATGCCGGCTTCATGAACCAATGTGATGCTTTCAAAGATCTTCACTGTGATTTTCTCCGCCTTCTCCACCTGCTGCACATCACCTGCACAGAAACACCAAAACACCTCAGGTGAGATTTAGCCTCCTCAGTGAGAGTAAAGCGGGTGTAAAACATGGACAACGTGTTTGTCAGTCAGAAAAGAAGCAGAGTAATTCCCTAAAAGAGGCTGGAATAAAGCGTCTGGAAATAAAACCTCATGTGAGTTTCTGTTTTTGGTTTACCTGCCAGGTTCCTCAGCTGGCTCACCAGCAGGGAGATGGGTCCGGTGAACGGGATGGCCTGAGTCTGGGTCACCATGCCAACGGACAGATCCGTGTAGTCTGGACAGAGAGGGAACCAAGCAACATGAACACACCACGGCGCGGTGCATTCAGGGACACAGAACCGCAGGAAAAACTAAAACTAAAGGAACAGGAACTACTACTGACATCTTAAAACCAGATGTTTGCATTTAAGTTCCCAAAAGTTTGTTCAGTACTGTGGAAGTTCAAAGTTAAGAAGAACTAGTTCAAAGTTCAGTTCACAAAAGGTTAACAGTAACTAACCACCAACTATAAAGCCTGAAAAAGACAAACACTAAAGAAGAATTAAATAAATAAAACAATGCTTAGCCTGGTGGGGTCAAAGTAAAGCCTGGTGGCCCGCCAGGCTGAAGGTACACCAGGTGAAGCCCCGCCCACATCTTACTACTGTTGATGTGAGGAGCGGCCATTTTGAAAAGTAAAACCGGCCGTACAAATCGTAATTGGAGTAGTCGGAGCTCCTCTTAATTTCCCAGTAGGAAATCCGACTTCGGAGGGCGTTCCAGATGATTTTTCCAACTGAGAAGTCTGAAATCCCAGTTTTGAGAGCAACTTGCATGCAGCATCAGCTCTGTGATTGGACTGGACAGTTACTCACTGGAGAGGTCAGTTGGGGTCATGATGTGGTAGTTAAAGTTCCTCTTGACCAGGATCCCAGAGACCCTCTGGCCCTGAGCGCACTTCTCGTCTGCGAGCGCGCCCATCACCTGCAGCAGGGCATGCTGGGAGTTAAAACGCCATCGGATTGCATTGTGTGTTCGCAAACACGCCGAGACGGACCTTCGCCAGCTTCTCTCCTCTGAAGGTGAGCGTTACGGCCTCGGTGTTCCTCGGGTTGTGGACCTCGATGTGGACCTCGTCATTGTCCTCGTACTCCCGGATCAGAGCCGCCTTCAGGCGGGCCATCTCGTTCTGCTCGCCGTGGACCAGAATCTGCAGGACCAAACGAAGACCAGTCAGTTTTTTGATCTCGACTCAGATCTGGACGGAGCGGGGAGCCCGGATTACCACGTGGGGAGGTTTGAGAGCTCTGATGAACTCGCTGGTCTGCTGGTAGTCGGTGTGAGCCGAGAAGGAGATGTAGTCCACAGACATCTTCAGAGGAAGCTTCTGACCCGACATGGTGGTGATCTCCTCAGGTTCAGTCATGATGTGCTGCGGCACAACAGCACTTTGTCAGACATGACAACACATATCTACCACAAGAGGGAGCTCTTGCACCACCAGCTTCTGGTCTGGTCAAACCTTTGACCTGATTACACACTTGGTGAGCAGGTGTGAAGTCAGTGAGCCATTATAACCAGTGAGTTTTATCTGAGCTCTAATGTGGATTAAAA